CGAAACACGGTATGACAAAGCTGTAAATTCCGCTGAGTGGACTCTGTCGACTACGCGGAACCGTGCGAATTAGCAAGAATCGTGCAACGCGTTGCAAATGCAAATTGGAACGATTAACGAGATTGTCGTCGATCCAAAAGAATATCGATGTTCTTGGAAGGCAGATAGATAGAGAGAGAGAGAGAGAGAGAGGAGAGGAATTTCACGGACCACGAGGGAACCTTGTACAATATCAAGGACCGATCTGAGAAGAATATCAATGTTCCATCAATCGTAAATGGGTCGAAACAACTCCCCTCCTCACCGGCTGTGGACTGAACTGGTGGAACAGACCGCCTTTTTCGTGCACCTGCCACGTCCACGGGGAAGCACCGTTATGCAGCACGTACGAAGCGCATCGACGTGCACGAATCCCCGAGAATACGTGTCGGAGAGAAAGAAGGAAGCGGCGACGCGGGGGCCGGGAGAGGCAATAGCCCCGAAATTATTGGCAACTCTGGACCCCGAAATTTGCGGTCGACGAGTTACGTACGGGTCCCGAACCTAACACTTTCCAGTAATTTCCTACAGTTGGACGTTCCTTACCCGCAAATTGCTCGCGAGAATGCCGGGGTCAGCTGTTTTCGACGCTGCAGAAAGAAATCCTCGAAATTGGCCTGCGTGGGAAACCGTGTTGCGTTCTTGCGATGATGTAACTTCACATCATAGATGGATGCCGCGAATCCCTCTGATAAGCCTCGATAACTAAACCGTGAAAAGGCATACCTTCGGCGTTACACCGGTTGCAACAAGGCCCGCGTCGTTGACCGCAAGTTTGACTCGCATTCAGGGCATAGCCAACGCGCGTTCGTAACGGAGAACAATTAATATTTACGATTCGATGAAATTCTAATCGCGTTTCTACGCTGGAAACGATGGTAACACGAGGAATATTCCTCGTTCGCACGATGATGCCCGAATTCCACCGGTGGAAATAATTTTCCTCGGCAATTAAACACGACAAAGCGTGAACGCGAATGGGTCCCCGAGTCTGACGCCCAAGACCAGGCTTTCGGAAATGCGTCTAGAGCGGATCGGTTGGTTCGTTGGCTGACTTTCGCTTGGAATCGACGCATCGGCACCTATCTTGGAAAGTATCGCCATCGAAACGCGTTCTTTATCCGAGCGATCGAGCAGAATCGTATGATTTTGGAGTAAGGAGAAAGCGAACGCCGCGACAAGCGCCTCGCATTCAATGACCTCGGGCCACGGCTCGATGCCAGCGCAGCGAATGACCTCCGACTGGCAAATAGTAAACAGATGTCAACTAAATTCATTCCAGAGACCAGATACCCGTTGGCGCCACCGTAAATTCGCTCAAGAATTCGACAGCGAGTCGTCGAGTATCGGGTGGAAAACAAACAGCCGATCGTCGAGTAATCGAATTACCTTCGAAACGCTATGTTTAGAAACGTTCGTGATCTACAATTTCAAATTCGTCGTAACACCTGAATATTCAAGCTCTAATAAGCATAACGCGCAGAACGTCTCGAGCATCTAGTCGATCTAGAGTAATACGCGGCAGTAGAACACTTATAGTACTTAGGATATCTGGAATAACTTGCAATTGACTCGTGGTTAAAACATTTAGAATACCTGGGGTAGTTCGTGCAGAGTCGTTGAAATACTAATGGGAAGTTCATAGCGGTCGATTTAAAATAAATATTATATCGCCCCTATGGGGTGGCCATACGGTATTTTGTTGACGCGCAAAGGCAATTAATAAAACTAGATTAAACGCCTACTAATGCCGGGATATTTTATAACAGGCGTAAAATATTTCGAGTGCAAAGGAGGCTATGTAGAAAGTATTTTAGTCGTTGCTATTGTACGCGATCGTTGAATTATACTTAAATGATTCGAACTGAATGGCGGAGAAAATTAATGTCGCTTTTCCGCGAACAAAACAATTTTATCGGTCGTATAATATCCAGTGTTACGTATATTGCTGCTTTCCCGGTCGAAACGGAATATTAATGTTTGCGTTATAATATCATAAATATTAATGTTAATATTAAAATTTCATTCCGGATTTAGCGCACATTTATTTCGGACGGTGTGGTCCAAATGTATCCCCTTTGAAAAATATTAATTTCGAACGACCTAACGCTTGTTTTTCATTAAACATTTACGACTGTTCGTCTCGGTCGGGAATTTTCGCAGAGCCTGTTAAAAAACGGAATGCTTGGCGTTGAAAATTTTCAGCTGAGTCGTACCGAACAACGTGACCGCTCGAATCAAGAACTTTGTACTTTTAACCACGCGTAGATACCATCGAATGAATTATTCATAAATATTAAATTCCGCGTTAAAAAAAAAAGAAAAAAAAAAAAAAAGAAAAAAAGAAGAGAAAGAAAGCCGTTCTATAGTGTTGAACGTGGTAAAATTTGAATTTGAATGGTCGAGAGGTCTCGAATCGAATCACGATTTTCGTCGCGAAAATAACTTGGGGTATTATAAGATAGATACGTAATTGCAAAACCTAGCTATGACAGTTATCTCGGTTGCATAACCGAAAATTATTATTACCAAAGACGAGATCCCATTTGGCCGTATCGAAAAGGCGCTGCTCGCGTTCGCCGATAAAGGACCGTGAACTTTTTTACGCGGACAATTTGAAGCGAACGATAGTTTTAGAATCTCCTTCAGCCTTTAACGACGCGAACTTTTTTAACGTCGAGCAGCAAACTGAAGATCCCCCGTCTCTTCAAACGCGATCTACCAGCAAGCCAGACGCTGTTCAAGGTGCAGCAACGTGAACTTGAGAATAAACGATTCGAATCCTGCATAGGTTTGTCGCACGCGCTGTACACGCGTGTACCCGACGAGTTCCCGGAACGACAAAAACGATCGGAAAAAATAAATAGAGATTGTTCGAGTTACGTTTAGAGTGACACAATCATAGCCTTTGGCCACGCTCGGTATAATTGACAAAAAGCAGCCGCGTTACGCGAGCAGCTTGCGTTTTGCGACGCATGAACGTGCACCGGCAGCGTCCTCGAAAACTGAAATAGTTATGACTTGACGTTGCGATAACGGAAAAAAGAAGCTTTCAGGTAAGCGGCTCGCACGATAGCTGCTTATGTAATCTGACAGAAGCAGCGCGGAGCAAAGCGCTAGCTTCTTTGGACCCTACTTCGGCCCACTTTGCGTTTTGGCAGCGATTTCGCGGTCGTTTAAGCTCGCTTATCGCCGATCCACTTCGTGGATCTTTGCACGGATCCTTCGTGGATCTTTCTACGATCCTCGCGATATCGATCGACGATCACGGTGTTCCCACCAAGCGAGAATTTCCTCGTTCTGCTAAGCACCATACGCAACCGCGACTGTCCTCTTTTATCTTTTTCTCAACGTTTAGACAACGAGACTCGGCCAATGAAATTTGAGAACTCGCAAACAACAGACCGAGTGTCTATTTAAAGACGGTTTAACGAAAGAGTACTTGATCTTGAGAATGGCAAAGCAACACATACGAATCAACAAGTGTCGATACGAAAATATTCGATTCGATCAAAATTTTAAGATACCGGGCAATCGAAGATCGAATATCTCGTGGGTGTCTCGAATCTACGGAGAAGCTTTTCAGAAGAGGCAAAGCGTACCAACCAAGCGATTCGTTCCGATTTTAGATAGAGATAAATCGGTGTACTCTAAAGTCAAACTTTGAAGATATTTGATAACGGGAGGCGGGGAATAAGCCGTAAACGAACCCGTGGAAAGCTAATCGAATCACGTGGAATTGAAAATTTTAGGCACTCTAGAAGCACCGCGTTTTCACGCGATTCTATTTTAATCTTGCCCCAACGAAAACGTACGGACACTCGTTCGCCACTTTATTAAACGTATAAAAACATTTAATATCGCGTTATCAAGGACCGAATCGCGTTACTCGTTAACCTTGTCTCGAATTCCATATACCGAAAATACGTCTAAAAATACGTACAAGTCGAGAAGAAAAGATCCACCGATATTCGACGATACCTAACAGAGAACTCGTTTAACGATAATCCTCGAATTTTTCGACGACTCATCGCCAGAGCGAAAAAAATATTTACCGAGTTTGCAAAGAGAGGAACGATGCGATGTGCGTTTAATAGATTACAACTGCGTCGATATTTAACGTATAAACAAATTATTTTTGCTTTCCGATCCGTCGTGCCACATGGTGCGTCGACTAACGAGTGTTTCGACGACACCGAGTTCCTCGATTCGTAAGAAACACGTTTTCGAACGGAGACCCAACGCGAAACTATGGCGTTATTTTCGCGAGCTCTTAGCACGCGTCACGGTTTTCCCGATTATTCGTGAAAAGGAATTTTAAATCGAAATCTCGCGGTACCGCGGTCAACGTTTCGTGACGACGTGGTTGGAAATTTTTCCTAAATTTCGCTCCATCGATCGACTTCAACGACGACGATTCTTTGCATATTCGAGGTAAATATACATTTGGAGGTCAGAGATATATTACACGTGTTTATATAAGCAGGCTCTTCGTTTCGAGGTTTCGCTAACTTTTAGAATCGAAATTCCCAACGATCGGTCGCCGTGCCTCGATAAAGGTATCACCTGGTGGCGAAAGAAGAATTTGTCGCTAGGTATGGCGAAGAAGCTAGGAAAAAATGTAAAATTCATAGAGCGTGTTACCGATACGGAGTACGATACGTGCCGCGAGGAAGACCTATGTACGGAACAAGGTTGTTTCGGTATTGAAAAGAAAGGAGCGCGGACTTCTGGGACCGAGGCGAAGTACTTACGGCTACGTTAGATGGGCAGAACGCGAAGTTCGAATGTTGGAAAGGTCGGTCGCTAATGTAAACAGAAACGGCGTGTCGCGCGCGCGATGCCAGATAGGCCACATGCATCGAACCGAAGTTATTCCGCGTAGACCGAGCTGTTTCTAACTCGGTCGTGTCGAATCGGTCGCAAACGCAAAGAATTTCCGTTTGTTCGGCGGTACTCACCTGAAGATCATGACAGCCGTTATCCCTGTGACTGGCAGCACGAATCACCCCTGCACGCCACCCCCACTCACTGATCTTATTCACCTTTAGCTTGGTGAAACCACTCACCGAGAGAAACCTCTTTCCCACGATCTCTTCGCGAAACTTGTACGCCATATTATGGATCGGCAACCGCGGCGTGTCGAATCCGCGAATTCGGATCGCCAGCCGGGTCTTCCAATCACCCTTTCTCCTTCTCCTCTATACGTCTACTTCTCCTTCTCCCTCTGTCTTTCTCTTCTTCTATCTCTATCTCTATCTCTATCACTATCTCGCGCTATCCTTCTCTCTCTCTCTCTCTTTCTCTCTCTCTTTCTCTCTTTCACTCTCTCACTCTCTCTCTTTCTCTCTCCCTTTCTCTCTCTTTCTCTCTCTCTCTCTCGCCCTCTCTTTCGCTCTCTTTCTCTCTCTCTCTCTCTCTCTCGCTCTCTCGCTCTCTATCTCTCTCTCTCTCGCTTTCTCTCTCCCCCACGAACTGTGCCGTTCTCTTTTCCTCTATTCCGATCCTCCAGCGAGCGTGCCTCTCCCCCAAAAAAGAAAACCCCACGTAGCACTGAACCGTAGAGAAGAACAACCGAGCACCGATCACCACTTCGTTGTTATTTTTTTCCACCAAAACACAGAGAGCACAGTCACTCGGATCTCTTCTCCTCGTGATCACGACGGGCCAACAAACAACAGGGCCATGAGGCGCGCACGATCCTCCTCTTCTTCTCCTTTCTCTCTTTCTTCTCTCTTCCTTGGACGGTCGGCCACCAGCAGCAGCAGCCACTCCTTGCTCCTACATACGTGCGTCTGGACACTGGACACCGTACACCGAAAACTCTCGGCGACCGCTCCGATACACTTCGCTCCTCGACACCTCCTTGGCCTCTCCACCACCACCTCCGCCGCCTCTTTCTTCTTATTCTTCTCCTTCTTTTTTCCTTTTCCTCCGTCGCGCACCACGCAGCCGATCTTTCCCTTTTACAACAGTCCGCTCCACCTGCACGCCCGTCCACGACGTCGTCGTCGTCGTCGTAGTCGTTGTCCTCTCACCGATGATGTTCCCCGCGCCGACAGGATTTCGCCTGCTCTCCTCGCCACGTCCAGGACACGGAACGAGAGGCACTTTAAACTTCCGGCCGCACACCGTGTATACTGGACACACACTGCTCGGTTGACGGCGGTAACGGCGGCAGCGCGGTAACCAAGCACTCCGAACGGTACCAGTGTGAACGTGAGAGTGACACACACATGACCGGCCAGTGATATCGCGTAGCGCGCACTGCGGGCGGACGGCAGGGAGGCACGGCTCCTTCCCGCGACTCCTCCCCCCTCCCCCGCTTCGCGGCCCGACCTCCCGCCATCCTCCTCTACC